AGAATAACTCAAGGAATAGTTAAGCAGTTAGGGATAAAATGGGAACTTCATACTCCTTGGCATCCGCCTTCTTCTGGGAGGGTGGAGAGAATGAGTGTCATTTTGAGATTAACAATCATGGGAATTGGGAATGAATGCAAGTGATAGCACTCAAGCTGACATCTATCCTGCCTTTCCCCTTCTGCAAGCAAATTATTCAGGACCAGGAAGCATCTGTGGACACATGCTATTTAAAGATCCAAATCTTTGGTTTTTCTTTTCTGGATGGGCTACCAATTATCACCCAGGGTTTCAAGGGGGGGGGCTGTGTGGGAGTAGGATTTTTGACTTTCCTGGTACAGGTAATCAAGCCCCAAGGAGGAAGAAGATCAAGATGGAGTGCAAATGTGGGAAAGGACCAAATAAAGGGCTTTTTGGGACCAACCTGTAGGGATGAAGTAATAATTGATGAACAATTATCAGGATCTAGGGGAAGTAGAGAAGGTGGTGGTGCTGTAACAGGAACATTAACCCTGGGATCTTATCCGGGGATTATAGCACAAGAAAATAGGAAAATTATCCTGGGTCTTACTTGTAGGTTAGAGAAAAGCATTAATGCCACATCTTACCTGTAGGTTAGAGAAAAGCATTAATGCCACCACACAAGTAGTTAGAGAACTACAGGAAGAAATCGATAGTTTGAGTCAAGTACAAATGCAGCAACACCTGGCATTGGATTATTTGTTGGCCAAGGATGGAGGGTTTTGTAAAATAGTAGGTCCTGAGTGCAAAGTTATGTATCTAGACATGAATAAATCTATAGAACATCATTTGGGGAACTTGCAAGATCTAATAGAGAATAATATGATAGAAAATGACAATCCATGGAGTTGGTTCACTTCGTAGTTGCCAGATATTACATGGCTGAAACAAATATTTGCTTTTGGAATTCTGCTTATAATAATAGGGATAGTTGCTTGTTGTTGTATTCAATGTAGTCCTTTAGTTATAACAAGGATAAAAAAGATGCCTAAGATTCCTAGAGGAGATCACTCAAATGATTCTCATGTAGTCCTTTAGTTGTAACAGGGATAAAAAAGATGCCTAGGATTCCTAGAGGCGATCACTCAAATGATTCTGATAGAAGATGCAAGCACAATACCAGTAGAGATTCAATGTGAATCTTAGAATAATATAGTATAAAAAGAAAAAGGGGGGTGATTGATATGGATAGGTGAAGCAATAGTTCTAAGTTCACAGATAATTGAGAAATGAAAGTGGAAAGTGAAAGTTAAGAAACATGAGTCAGTGTAGAGTTAGTGTAGCAAGGGGGGAATACATATACGGGCATCGATGCACTTTGCGTCAAGTGATAGGTAGAATGTGAGCTTTTTGCATTGGTCATGATTGGCCAGAGGGATAGAGAGGGGTTGTGTTGTGTCGAGTATAAAATGTATTGTTGAATGCTTGAATTGCAGAGACCACACACCCCAGGTGTTAGAGGGATAGAGAGGGGTTGTGTTGTGTCGGGTATAAAATGTATCGCTGAATGCTTGAATTGCAGAGACCACATACCCCAGGTGTTTTCTCTCCACGCCTGCAGACATGAAATAAAACTCACTTGCTGTAAGTCTTCGGTGTTTGTGTGAATAACAGAATACCATACATAACATGGGCTAAATCCTCCAGCCCTACTTAGCACAGAGCTCTTGAAATCACACTTATCAGTCATATCTAACTTAAGTACGATTGATTTAATGGATTTAGTTCACACAGGACTAACGTTGAGTTTTGCCCTGTATTACCACCATGCCTTCTGATATCTTCCAATGGCCTTGCTCAAGAGTTGGACCGGACAAATAATGGTGCAACTATTGTACATATGCAATCCTGGCTTCCCAGCAACTCTGGTTCACACCCATGCATCCTCTTGCATTTCTTATCTAGGCAAACCAGAGAGCTGCTGAAACTCATATAGAGTCATTATTTTCTCATTGGTTTGGTGGATGTTCACTTTAGCCCCCATGCCTTCATCTCACACTTAAAGGCTGCCACCCTGATGGATCCCTGTATTAGGTCTCTCCACATAGACAAGCAAATGATAATTGTCTACATTTATTCCATTTTAGGGAGAAATTATTGCACAGAGGTTAGACAGCTTTGGGGTTTTTTCTTGTCTCCTCCTCTCTTCCTCCCCAACTTCACACCACACCTTTCTAGTTAATTGCATTATAGCGTGGGAATGTTTGGAACGAGTAAAACATTATTTGAGAGGCTGCAAAAAGCTTATTCTTTCAAGATATCAATAATTAAAGCTGCGGAAGACTTTGTAATCTCATCTTGTTACAACTTCAGAAGGCCTTTTCTTCTTGGATCATGCCTTCTGGATGATGATTCAAGTGAAAGCATAGCTCTGCATTGCTTTTCTGTTGCCCAAAGAGACCTCACAAACTCCTGAACAAAGAAGACCCAAGTATGCGATGTCTGCGTAAGTCAATTTTTCATGAACAGGAAGAAGAAAGAAGGAAACACTGACTTTGCTGCAGGCATTCAGATTTGTTCTAAGCAAAACAGAGAAGAAAATGCTCTGTGGTTCCACTTTTGCTTTTCTTCTATGTAATCTAAGACAAGCAGCAGGCGATGGTTGCCCTCTAGATACTTGAAAAAGAGTTTATAGATCTTTCCATTTAGGATATGTACATATTTCCCATACCCAGCCAGGACACTGGAGTGCTTGTTCTGAGCAGATAGGCAGGGTATAAATTAAATAAATTAAATAAATAAACAAATAAACAAATAAATAAATAAATAAATTCATTTAAGCAGGAAGAGATGTCTGACGAGACCAAGAAACAGCAAAGAGGCTCCACTTGTGCTTCCTTTTTCCTATCATCTCAATCACACAAAGCAAAGAGAAGGAGAAAAAGATTGCATATGCAAATATAATGTGAGGATTTGGCTTGGGTGGAAGAATATCCAGCATTTCAGCATACTCCATTGTGTGTTTATATATGCACTTGTTTTTCTGTGCACACTGGTCCAGATCCTGTTCTGTTATTCTGCTTGGGCAATGCTCTATACCATGAGGCATTTGACACTTGAGGAGCCTGCGGCAGGAAGTGTGTCGATACCTCTTTTCAGAAACGGAGGCCCCCCTTCTCCTTAGCTGAAATGGGTGTTTTCCGTGATCTCCACCTGTGGAATGGAGAATGGCACTGACAGAGTGTTGTGCATCACTGGCATTCAACAGGATTCCGACTGCTCTTTTCCTCCTCCATGAATTCTTTCTAGTCCTGGCAATAAGCAAGGGCTCCAGGAGGTAACAGCAGCTAACTGGTCTGATTGCTCATTAAAGTTAATGAGCAGGTTAGGATTAGCTCCTATGAAAAGTAAGATGAAAGCAAAATCACACCTTTGAAAGCTGAGCTAGAAGTTGATTGAAATGTATGCAAGTCCAATTAGTCATATAATGACCTGCGAATATGCACATTGCTAAAGAGATCTTAGGGCTCTACGGCAGACTTCCGGGCATGCTATTCAAGTGGAACACAATTGCAATTGCATACAAAATGATACATTTAGCTCTAATGGGAAACGTAACTTGCAAGAAGAAAAACTGTGAATATATTCTAATTTTTGGAGGCACATATGCTCTGCTCTTCCCAATGCATGCCTGGTTTTCTGATACCTTCTCCAAATAAGTGACAATCCTGACTTGTGTCTGCATTTTACATCCCGAGGAATGTTTTGAGGGTGAACCCTTTTTTTAGCACACGTAAAGGCACATTCTTCCAATTAACCTGGAACAAAGGTGGAGATGTTTTGGCCCTGCAGACATTTTGGCCTATAGCTGCTACCATCCCCATCTAGCCCAATCAATGCTAAAGACCTACTCATTACATTCCTTGCTCTTGTGGATTTCGGCAAAATGGAAAACCTTGGCAAGACCAAGTGAGAGAGAGAATCATGGTTCCCCCTCCCTACAAGTTATTTGTTATTTGCATAAAATGTTTGTACTGTCCTTTCCTTTTGGGAAGCAAAGTACACACAGAGAAAACACAAAAGAACAGGCTGATGGCTAAGAAAGATGCAAAAAACCCATCTAGTGCCTCAAATTCTTAAATAAACTAACAGGCAACTGAGTTTTAGGCAATTCGCAAAATTTGCTGATTGCATCACGTCATGCAATGTTATGTGGAATGTGGCATTTTTGGTGAGTGTGTAAAATGTCCTTTCCAGTGCTTCGAGATTCTTCACCGTCATTCCTGTTGAGGAAAATAATGTAATTCCTCATTTTTGCATGTCAAATGAGATAAGTAAGAATTTGCATCCATAGTCACTCTTCTAACTTTGTTTCCTTCCAGTGAAAGGAGACACAAACACAGAACAGTGATCCAAGCAGAATCCCAACAGACACACTTTCTGACATGTTAATTCTTTCTCTCTCTGTTTGTGAAACACACAAAACCTATTTTATGCCAGTTCCAGTTAATCTCCATCTTCAAACTACTTTCCTTATTAGGCTGGAGGTATACGTAACAGAGTAGGGTAAAAGTTTCATTCAGTAAACTTAATTCCCAAATTAATTGATGTTACAGCTCATCACCCAGCATAATGTTTCCAGAATCCTTCCCTTATTATCCTGCGTTGTCAGGTTAAATTTATCTTTTCGACATTGGAGTTGCTAAACAATGTATGAAAGGAAGAGCAAAAGCAACATTAGCCAGAGGAAAGGGGGTGGGTGGGAGTCACACCATTACATTTAATAGCTCTGACACTCGTTGTGTTTTAGTTGTTGTGGCTTGTTTTCCAGGAAAGCAATCAAGGACTTGATTGAAAATATGAGGTAACTTTTTTTTTAATTTGGCTAAATGCCAATTTTTTTTCCTTTTTTTAAAGGGGGAAGAATAAATGACGCTCCCTTCTGCCTGGCTTCTTTCCAGGAGCCACTTCCAACTAAAGATGACAAAGAGCTGTCCCCTGAAATAAGAACAGAACTGACAGAACATAGCCCCCAATACCTGCCACATTTTATGTGCAGTGCCTCTTATCTCCTGGTGGGAACATGGATGACACCGCCTGCTGAGATGGCTCATCTTTGACTGTGTGTTGATGAAGAACCTGCCATGACCTATTCTCAAACAAAATTGCACAAGGAAGGAAGGAAGGAATGGACAAATGAAGGCAAAGCATTGGAGATGATTAGCAAGGTTGAGTTTAGGTTTGGGGCATGGAGTGGGATAGCTGGAGGGCAGTAGAGGGAACCAAGAGAGGGCAGTAAAGGGGAACTGGCAGTCGTACTGAAAGCAGTACAGTTCCAGTCACTTAGCTCTGCCAGCAGGATGCGATAAAGTGGTGGTAAGCCTCTGACAGGGGGAGGGTGGGATTTTCTAAGGGATTGCACCCTGCTTTCATTGCACTGTTGAAATTCACTCACCACCAGCATAGGCCAGCTCCTTTTTAAAAACTCCCATTTCTGCATAATTCCCCCACATACACTTTTAATAACATAAAATTCAAACTTGGAACACGTTACTGTAGCGCCAAGGGGTAGACAAGTTGGGCAGTCAGCCAATGTGCCACGATGAGGAAAGTGACAAGCAGGCCTGAGGGGGCCAGGTTTTGTCTTTTTTTTTTTTTTAATGTCCTGTCTGCTGCGAGAGAGGCTTGTGAAAAATAAATGTCTGTAACCTTTTTTCCAAGGTTCTGCAGAATTGTCTGGGTACTGAGTACAAATACTATCTGCCTTCAGTCGGCTTTAATTGATGTTCCTTTTACAATTCCCAGTCTGATACAATTTATGCTAGGCATATGAAGTGGAGAGCAGTTTTGCTCACCTATCCATGCCAAGGAAGCAGGGGCTGCAACATCACGCTTCCCCCAGGCCCTTTCTGGGTGGCCCCAGGAAAACAAATAGGGAAAGAAAACTCATTCCTTCCATAGAGCTTTATTTATCCTTCACCTAGCCCAGTGTCACTGAACAGACTTTCTTTCAAAATATGCACCCTTGAAGCCTTTCCTCTCAAAATGCTTTTTTGAAACCCATTTGCACTGAAACTAACTTGCACTGAGAATACTGAGAGGGCATTCAAAGCCTTGCAAAATGGCACAAGTAACAACAGTCCGGGGCCCACATACATACCCAGAAATAGAATTGCCAAGTCTCAGCACACCAAATCAGCACACTCGTGTTAATAAGAGGGTCAGCCCTGCCTTCCAAAGGCTGGCTGCTTTTGGCTCTACAACTCCAAGTGACCAGATGCTGCTGCCTTAGCATGTCTCCTGTCTAGGAGATCTGGATCAGGTCATGCAGGAATTTATGAATAATACTCCTCACACAGATGTGCAGTGCATGTCGTTTCAGAAGAAACCTAGATGGGTTACAGTAGCCGTTTCTTCGGGGATTGTTTAGACACGACATTATTATTATCAACACATGGTTCTCTCTTTCCTTAATCTTCTTCTCTTGAGCAGTAATGATGACAAATTCTCAGGTAGGTAACAGCATGCATTTTAAAAACCAAAAGCACATGGATATGGCCAATGGCATAAATTCAGGCATGGAGCCAGCCCAGGACCTTCTGCTGCCTGAAGCAGACAATGACATGATGCCCTCTCTCATCCACATACATAATTCAACCAAATTAAGTGTTGAACCTTCCTCCAAAAATTAGTGGTGGAACAGCATCCTTTGCTCTCCTTGAAGGCAAAAGGCTGGCTTAGGGACTGCAGCGCATACTACATGTTACCCACCACTCTGTCAACCAAAGTTTCATTGCCATTGCCAGCATCTGCTCTTGCCTAATGGTAGTGCTGGTCTAGGCCAGGCCCTGGCTTCAGTGTGCCTTGCTACCTTAAATATCATGGGAAGCTCATGTAAAACAGTAAAAGCAATCCCTTTTCTCCTCTGGGTTGGTGGATTGGATGCTGCTATAATATATTACATTGCTATTACAAACCAGAAGCAAAGAAGAACACTTGGATATCAATAAATCAATGCTTAAATATATATTTTCTGCCTAGCAGGGTGCTATCAGGTGCTCAGAATAACACGGGGCTTGATTCTTCTCCAGCATTCTGGTTTACACCCTTACAATCCTTCATCTTTGCTTCATTTCACAGAAAGGAAGGCAGTTGCCGAGCCGTCCTGCTTATTTTGACAGTTGTGTTGGGTACGCAAGCGGTGCCTTGACAGATGCTAATAAAGCCAATCAGCAGAACCCGTCTCCTTCCCAACCTTAAGGCTGTGGGCAATCAAAGAAACTCTGAACATCTGGCTCCCTTCTCCTGATTGCTGCACTCACGGATTTAGTGCACCCAAAGAGGCAACAATTAGTCAGTACCGCTTGTGTCAAAAGACCCATCACGTTAATTCAAATTAAGTCAGGATAAATTGAATCCAATTGGCATCCGCACAGACTTGTATGCATTGCTTTAAATTGGGCTCCTGCAGCATCCCATATTTCCCCCCTTTTTCAGTTAAATGTTAAGGCAAAAACATGCTTTCTTTTAAACCCTGCAGTCCTGCAATACATTCCTTTGAGGCAAAGCACCACTGATATTACTGGAATTACTGTAAAGCATTGATTCAGTCTGCACAGCAACTAGGTCCTTGATGCACTTGATATCTTTGGAAATCATCATCAACAGTCCCAGGGTTTGATTTTTGTTCCACAAGAACAAGCACTCCAAACCAATGTGGTGAAAGCTCAAGAACCTAGAATTAGTGCTAACAGCAAATGTCGACTCTGCCAAGAAAAAGATGAAACTGTGTCACACCTCATCTGAGAATGTCCAAAGACCGCTTGAACAATTACAAAATCAGACATGACAGAGCAGCAAAATTAGTGCACTGGTCCTTGTGAAATAAATATAAGTTGCCAGCCTGTAAAAACCCATGGGAACATTGAATAGAGAAGGTGTCTCCGAAAATGATGAAGTCAAGCTCTTATGAGATTTCTGGATCCAAACTGATAAGACATCTTGAACATAACACACCAAACATAGTAGTATTAGAACAAAGAAATGTCTGGCATTCTAGGGGATGCCAGAGTTGAAAGTAAAAAATTGGAAAAACTAACAAAATACAGAGACCTGGCAATCTAAACATCTCGCTTGTGGATGAAACACACTTCATGGGTCACCGTAGTCAATGGGGCTTTGGAAACAATATCAAGAAATTTCATACAGTATTATAAGCAGTTGCAGATCTCAGAGATAACACCATGAAAGCTACAAAAATGGCAGTATTAGGAACAGCATACATACTACAGTACACTGATATTTAACAGATACTTAGGTTTTGGGTTGAAACTGGTATCTGTTATATAATGCCAGTCAATGCTTGTTTAATTTTGCTTGACTGTATCTGGTATTTTTTTTTAATAATAATGCTATTTTAATAGTTTTATGTTTTTTATAGTTTCACACATTGTGATTATCTATTTATTATTCTATGTGTTATGAATCAGAATAGTGCATTCCACGAATGGGTGAAATAAATAAATAAATAAATAAACAGATAGATAATTAATTAATTAATTCATTAATTCATTCATTCATTCATTCATTCATTCATTCATTCTAGGTGTTTCACATTGCACCTAAAGCTCTAGTTACAACTGACATTTTAGGGGCCCTATCAAAACAGCTACAAAGCCACCTTTGTACTCTAGGCATAAATGAGATCATGATACATCAACTGTAGAAGGCTGTTCTGTTAGGTATTGAGATCCCCAAATGTCAGGCTTTGTATGTTAAAATTATCACCTTGAAGCTGGCGCAGAAACAGGCACATAACTACTGCAGGGTGGCCAGAGAGCATTGCAGTAGTTTAATCTTGAGACTACCAATGCATGGACCAGCATGGTAAGGGACCCAGTGTCAAGGTAGAGATGCAGCTGAGCAATCTGCCTTAGGGGGAAATAGATGGAGCAGATCCCAGACACTATCTGGGACTCCATGGATAGCACTGGGTTCAAAAGTATGCCCAAGCTGCGAGCCTCATCCAAAGGAGAGGGAGGCCCCCAATCCACAAACACCAGGGGCACCCACTCATAGGACTTCCATCTTGTCCGGATTCAGCCTCAGACTATTATCGCTGAGCAATCTGCCTTAGGGGGAAATAGATGGAGCAGATCCCAGACACTATCTGGGACTCCATGGATAGCACTGGGTTCAAAAGTATGCCCAAGCTGCGAGCCTCATCCAAAGGAGAGGGAGGCCCCCAATCCACAAACACCAGGGGCACCCACTCATAGGACTTCCATCTTGTCCGGATTCAGCCTCAGACTATTATCCCTCATCCAGACTTCCGTCTTGTCTGGATTCAGCCTCAGACTATTATCCCTCGTCCACCCCAGCACAACGTCCAGGCAGCGCTCAAGGGATGAAAAGGCATCCTCTGCAGAGGGATGAAAGGAGAGATTGAGCTGGGTGTCATCCACATGCTGATAACACAAAGCTCCAAAACTCCTGATGACCTCCCCCAGTGGCCTCATATAGATATTGAACGGCACTGGGGAGATGTGGGACTCCCTGTGGGACTCCGCAATTGAGAGTGCAAGGGGTGGACATCATCTCCCCAAACTGTAATCTCTGAGGATGGTCCTCTAAGAAGCCAAATCAATTTGGAACCAAATGTGTTTAGTTGCGCAAAGGAGGGGCTGCTGTGGTTTGTTGGGGACAATTACAGTGGTGCCTTGCTTAGCGATGTTAATCGGTGAAGCAAAAATCGCTGCTAAACGATTTCATCGCTAAGCGATTTTTGAAAAGCCCATAGAAACACATTAAAATGGGTTTAATGCAGTACTATGGGCTTAAAAACTAACCTTATGTGAAAATCCTCAATTGCGGCGGCCATTTTCAGTGCCTCTAAAGCGAGGCAAAACAGTGGGTGGCCATTTTGTTTACCCAGTGGCTATTTTGGAACCACCAATCAGCTGGCTGAAAATGGGGGCTTTGCGATGATCACTTCCCTGTGATCATCGCAAAGCGAAATTTCCCCATAGGGGCCATCGCAAAGTGATCGCTCTTGCAATGGCAAAAAGTCCATCGCAAAGCAATTTCATCGCTATATGGAGCGATCGCTATGCGAGGCACCACTGTACTTTTATGTGATCATATATGTAAAAAGGACTCTGACTTTCAGCCACAGACATGAGAGATCAGTTCTTCTCGCTTTGGTGATTTTTTCTCAACCACCAAGATGGCATTTTTCATAAAATGTCATGGATTTCTGTCTTCTACCGCCAGTGATCCTGTCACTACATTCTAGCTCCACCACTTGATATGTAGGAGAAGAGAATGAGCGAAGGAGTAAACAGAGATACAAGAAGACATGCTTGAAGCATCCCTGACCAACTCTTTTTCTCAGAAGAAAAACAAGTGTCCCCAAGACACTCATTCCCCATTGCTCAGAGCATATCTTATTCAGGGAGGGCTCTAGGGCACAGCGAGACAGCCCTCGTGGATCTGTTTGTTATGGAAGGGGGAGCAAATTCAGAGTTGTCCAATGTGCTATACTTGTATTTTTACTGCCAGGCAAGGGTAGAAGTGCTTTTAGGATAATCTGCCTCATATGCCTAGATAAATTGTGTGGGATTTGAATTCTGTGCACCCTCACTTGGGTGGTGGGAGTGGCACCTGGGAAGATACTCCTTAGGCAACAAAATGCCAGGCAGAGCTCCCAGATTCAGTTCACAGGATCTTTACATAAAGTATCTCGGCAAGCAAGACAGGCTCACAGTCTGAAGGGTTGTACAACACAAGCTACTTTGTGCTGCCCTGTAACTTCAGCTTAGCTATAGACTTAACTGGAAGATGTGGTGTGTAACTATGAGACACCATGTACCCCTGTAATTGGTGGAGCAGAAGACACAGCAACTGAAGGTACACAGATGCATAGGGAAAAGTGGTCTCCCGCCTCACCTCTCTCTTTCTGTGTTACACACACACACACACACACACAAACACAGAGGGGAGGCAGTACAAAGCTCCTCACAAACACAAACAAACCTGCTTATTGACAAGATGCCAATAATGAGTGAGGAGGTGGGGCAGTAGCCTAATGGAGGGCAATACTGCTGAAACTATCACTGCATTTAATAATGAGAAATTAAAATAGCATTCTCTCTGCATTGGCTCCGGGCCACTGCTGAAACCTTCTGGCTGGGCCTGAGAGTAGGGCTGAAAACTTGCGTGAAATGGTGGAGAGTTGGTGCCAGCAAGAACAGGTAACTGTGTCTCAGACAGTCTGATAGGCTGATTCATTATGAATCAGTCTCATGTGTTCAATCTCTTAACAAACAGAAATGATTAAAATATTGCTCATGCAAAATGATCATGGATTGGATTGGATTCTCTGGACATATATCTGGCTTAATGTCAAAGTCCATGAATACCGGGCCAGCATTAGATAAGCTAATACTCTAGTATTGGAGTCACTCAGTGTGCTCAGTCTAGTTGTAAGATGTATCTAGAGTAGACCTATTGAAGGTATAGAACGAAAAGTCAATAGTTTTATCATTCCCATTGCTTCAAGAGTTCCACTTTAGTTTACTTCAAGAAGATAAACAACTTGAACACATTGTTAGTCTTCTATGTTGTAGGTGTATTTCTGACCACAAAATTAGAAATTGATGAGCATTATGACAATGAAAATTTTGTTCTGAAATTCAATACCAGTCAAAAAGGTTACCCTTATTTCTCTCCCCTATCTTGATTATTAGGAATAGAGGACAGTATAAAACTGATGTGCAGTTATGAAAATTGGTTAAGCTTGTATCAACATCTTTCAATAAATTATGTGTTTTTTCCCACAATGACTATTGATTTTGTTTCTGCAGCCCTTGATCAAGGTAGTATAAATGGATAAACCAGAAAATTGTTTGGTGACATATGAAAGCACAATCATGGCTGTAATTTATAATTAAAAAATAATATTAATGCTCTGTATTTTGACTTACCAGTTACTAATCTGTTTGCCACCCCAGTTTCCCCTCCCCTGAGCAAGTTTTCTATGCCTTCAAGGCCTGCTTAACAGGTAGAAAATCAACCAAAAAGGCTTTTTTAATGACATTGAATTATAGTAGCAGGAGGAAGCTTCAGCTGTTCTGTTTCCATGGGTCCCGGATCAGACTTAGATCAGAAAAGTTACCTTTTTTTTACCGTGGCTCTGAAAATTTCCTTCAGCCATTGTGGCCCGAAATGTATGTTGTTTTTCAGACAGTTGGACCTCACAAATCCCAAGTGGCTGGAGAGCACACCGAGAACACCACATTGCTTCTCACAGGGGTAATTTGTGTGGTGGCCCCTGTTGAAAAGTGGAACCTGCACGAACGGATTGCCGTACATATGGTGATGATGGTAGGAGCACAGTCCAGCATGCTACTCGTTTGTTTTATGTGCTATACTACATTTTGTCCATGTGGCTTCCCAACACCTCTGCCACAGTCATGGTGATGCCCACTGTTGAAGCAGTGCTAGCAGAGCTAGTGAATGCTGATGAGGATTGGCAAACAAACACTGCCACGGGCAACACCATTCTAGAAGACAGAGAAATAATAGGTCTTGGTGACAAACATGGGCAAGCCTCACTGGAGCTCCTTTTCCTCAACAAGGATGTTACAAAAGCTGACTTCAACTTGCTGATGCATTCCAAGAACATGAATGGTCTGCGCATGATAGCTAATACAATTGGAACAGTGAATTCCCACCAAACAGAAAATATAAAGCTCAGGCTTTTGAAACTGTGCTGTCTATGGAGCTTGTGGACATTGAAGCTAACAACAGACCACTGCTGTTCACTGCCAATTTAAATATGTCTAAAGGTTTGGTATACTGAATGTATATTTGTTTGGGAAGGTGGATCTGGCCTGTCATCCCAAACTGCTTTTGTACCAGTTTCTCAACATTTGTTACATTTCTTTGTCATTTCTCAGTGGTTTACGTATCTGGCTGCAGAGACAGAGGTTTGGCGTTTCTATTCCCCATTGTGTCTCCTGTGAGTAGAGCCAGCTGCTCACTCCCAGAGCTGCCCCAGAAGAGGAAAATGGTAAACCACTTCTGAGTATTCTCCAAGTAGAAAACCCTGAAAAAGTCAGTATTGACGATGGCACATTAATTATAATTTCTTATTTGAAAGTTATACGTCTGTGTTCTGTTATTAGTACATGTTTTAACTAACCCTGTTTGTGTATAGTGAAAACATCAGAGGGAGCTGTTTCCTGCAGATGAAAAGTACATGCACAAGATTAAGAGAGACAAATACACACACACACACACACAGAGAGAGAGAGAGAGAGAGAGAGAGAGAGAGAGAGAGAGAGAGAGAGCACTGAGTTTTCTGTTCACTGTGCAGAAGAAGCTAATGTAACATTTCTCCCCTCGGGGGCTGCTGCTGGAGCCATTCTTACAGCTTTGTTTAGCTCTGTTTACTTTACAAAGCTGCCGTAACAGAAATTTGTTAGAGGTTCATGTTGGTGATCTTGGTGGCTGCGGTGCTCTCCCCTTTCCAGGAGGGAGCCCTCTTGAACTCAATAGGACTCCCTTCTGAGGAGGTACACATTATTAGATTGGCCTACTAGTAGCTGAAGTCATTGTTTTCTTACACAGTGGTTGAGCAAGCCATCCCAGAGTGATCCAGGTGCTTCATGGAGGTATTTCTTGAAAACATTCTGCAGTCTAGACCAGCACTGATGTTGGTTTGAGGCACCATGTTTTACTCCAGATCAACCATACACCATAGCTCAGAGCCAAACGGTGGGCTTCTTCTTTCCCGTTCATGTATCAAGCTTACACAGAGCAACAGGTGCCACCGGAGGTGAAAAACCAAGCCTGTCACCATCCAGAAATTACATGACCTTCATCACTTTTGCATACAACAGTGTGTATACATCCGCATACACACACAACCTGTAGCACAGGGTATTTATCTTTAAGGCCAACCTTCTCACTGTGCGTTGGCTTCAAGGGAATTTGCTACCCCTGTATTCCCCTCTGTTGGACATCCATTGCCCTGGGCCCCATGACAGACCTGGCACTGCAGAACTACAGTGGTGAAAAGCAGGTACCACTAGTGAGCTAGGGGGTCACATTTGCAGGACTTGTGCTCAGAGATGCCTTGGTCTGATGTCCAGCTCATCTGCCTACCTATATCCCAGGGATAATGTGAAAATTAAGGAGAGAAGGGGCCATATGTGTCACCCAGAGTTCACTAGAAGTGCTTTCCACTGCACTGTAAGCAGCTTCAAATGCTTTTCTCTTTTTAAAAAAATTACAATATTTTTCAAACCATTCCTTGGAAGATTTGTCCCCATTAGGATCGATCCTTGGCTTGCCATCACACTAACATCCCTCACCTCCCTCTGTTTCAATCTTAGGCAGAACTGAAGGATTTTGATAGGCTGGGAATAGACTCACTAGTAGCTGTATGGTTCTACAGTAAGCATGGGATGTGTCTTTTAAATGATAGAGTCACTAGGTTTCCATCTTTAATGAGTTTGCTGTGATGCCCGCCACCAATGGAATGGGCAAAGGAATCTAATTGCATTTTACCTACACTTCTAAAAGGAGGCAGATGCCTTCCTTCCCTCCCTCCCTCTTTTATAATTACACTCCTGGAAATATGGTGAAGGAGGCAGAGAAGCTAAAAGTGTTTTTGCCAACATATTTATCTAGCCTTTCTTCATTTGTGTGCTATTTTATTCTCATAAGAAATTCTGAGTGCGCAATTCTTTTTATTTGAAAGCACTTGCAGACCAAATGTTATGCCCACATCCAGCCTCCTCACCAAACATATGGCAGTAAAAATGAATCTGACTCAGTTAGTTTGAGCAATTACCCAAGAGGCAGATAAGGTTTTTACAGGGATGTGGGCTACACAGAACTACTGAAGGCCAGGAAGCCTTAGCCATGTTGTTCTTACAGAACGAATTGATATGGAAGCTTAAGAAAATAACTGGGCTCAATCAACATTGCTGTAAGACAGTGCTTCCCAACTTTAGGTTCCCAGATGTTCTTGGACTACAACTCCCAAAAATCCTGGCCAGCATAGCTGGTTTCCAAGAGTTTTAGTCCAAGAACATCTGGGAACCTAAAGTTAGGAATCATTGGCAGAAGAATTCCTTTCTACAACACTGATTCTGACACAGGCAATTTTGGGGGGGCTGGGTGTAATGGCCACTTGCCATCCTGGCTAGGAGTTCTAGAAGGTGTAAGCCTTTTCTGATTTCTGGAACTTTACAGGGTGTCTTTTGCTGAGCCAGAGATTTATACAGGTATTGGAAGTTGTTGGCATGCTCAATGGGACATTTGACCTTGTTTGGTTAAATAAAATGCCCATGCTTATCACAAAGTGCGCTTAGAAGGCCTTCCATATTCAAGAGTATTTTGTGATGTGGCTCATAAGACTGCTGTTTCAAGAACTGGAGGATTTTCATGGAAGATACGTTAACCAAAAGCTATCCATAAGAACAGAGTAGGGAACTTTGAGCCCTTAACATGTTTTTGGCTTCTGCTCCAAGGTGTTCTAATGAGCCTGTTCCACAAAAATGAATGGGTTATGGAGGTCGTAGTTCAACACAACTTAGAAGTTCCCCACCCTTGAGCTATATGTACTCTTCATGTCCACTAGCAATGCGTCACTGAAGGCAGACAGTGGGATCAACACGAGGTGAAGACTTCTTTTCTTGCTGGTTAACCTCCCAGAAGTATCTGGCTGCCTGCTGTGGAAAATCCATGTAGGGCTCTTCCCTGACTGGCCAAGATTTCACATTAACTTTGAACATGAAATTGTTTGGCGGCACCAGAAGCAAATGTAACCCCTTTCCCCTCTCCTGTTATGCACTAAATGAGTGTGTCTGCATCTGCATCTTGTCTGCACCGTACCCAGGGTCAGCTCTACCATTAAGCAGAGTGAGGCAACTGCCCTAGATGGCGGGGGCTGGAAGACAGCAATAGCAGCCCTGCATTGCACCTCCTAAGCCCTCTGATCATTGTCCTCTGCTGGAGAAGGGAGTAGTGTGAAGGACACTGCTCCCTTCTCCAGTGGAGGACAATGATCAGACAATGTGCAACCCTCCACTGAAGGCTAGCCTGCATTATCCAGTATTGGATAATCCAATATTGTCCACATGTCAAGACTGAAATAAGGATCAACTACCAGCTCAATCAGCTTCTACTGATGGAAGGAAGAATTTGTCCTTTGCCACAGGCAACAAAATACATTTCCCCAATCTTATGGTCTTATGTGCTTAAAATTAACCTCAAATCCCCTCTCGATTCACAGAATGAGTTGTGCAGTTCTTTGGATCCCAGCTTACATGCATAATCACAGAAGCTCTGTACACACCCATCCCCACCCCGCCACACATAGAGGTCTCGCAGCTTATGAATACAGGCTTTGCTTCTGTAAGATCTCAAGTTCTGTGAGCCCATGCTATTTGATGCTGGAAGGATCTTGTTATTATATGTTTGTGAAAGACCTCAATCTCAGATCTTAGACGGCCCCTGTCAGTCAAATGAAAAGGAATGGGATGGCTCAGTATAAGGCAACTTCAGCATTCATAAGAACACAGCATGAAATGGCTTAGTTCAAAACAATTATCTTTTCAGCCTGTGTCTCATATAAAACTTTCTTATTTTTATAGTCTCATCTGTTATAAAAGGACATTTTCCAAAACTTTAAATTTAGTAAGAAAAATATTGAAAATACTATTTGTTGTTCTTAAAATGAGGACATGGTTTGTTTCTTACAAGGTCTGCTAATTACATTTTTCGTTTGTTTCTTACAAGGTATGTTAATGAAATGGATAAGTGATTTTAGTGAAATACGCAAGGAAGTATGTTTTCAGGTATTTCTCACACCTTTGGGCAAAACATTTTCAGAGGACTGCTCCAAACACTGATCAACTGCTCATGCAATAGCTGAATCTGCATTAAGTGTGGGTGGGAGTCCCTGCAGCCCCTTAGGTACCCCCAAAACCAGTTTCAGCAGACTGAGCAATCATCTAGATCAACGTTCTCTCTAATTTTCAGCCCCGCTGAGCAGGGCGTCTGCCCCTCTTGCACGTGTGACTTTGCCACCCCTGCACATCTGACTCCACCCTTGTTTGTGGGGTTCCATTGCAACTGGAACCAAAGGGGCTGAAAACAATTGATGTGGGTGCATGGAGGAGGAGGCACCCTGCATTGAGGGAAGCAGAACTGTGCATGTGCGTGCAGGCACACACCTTAGAGGGAAAATTGATTCAGATCCAGTTTTCAAGGATTTTGTTTTGTTTTGTTTTTGTGGCTGCAGAGAGGAGGGAAAGAGAAAGAAGCTTTGGAATGTGTGTATCACAATAGATGTATCTATCTGTGAGTATTTTTTTTTAAATTAGAAAATAACAGTTCTGTGACCTGTTTAGAAAAATATGGTCTCCTTTCACCTCAAAATAGTCACAGCATGACA